ATTTATAACTCAAAATAATTTATAAAGTTTTAAGATTTTGACGGTTTTTGACAAAATTCTAACTTTAGACGCTCATAAAATGTATTGTGAATTCTTTTTTTGTTTTAATTTCCACTAACAAAAATGTATGAGAAATGTTGTATTAAATTCTCAAGTTTTTTTACTGAACGAAAATTATTTTATCGACAATAATTAAAAAGTCTAAATGTTCTTATGTCTATAAATAGCTCAAAACAAGTCTAAATATTGTAATGGTGTTTAGAAAATGCTAATAAAAACATACGGTGACAATTTTAAGTATCTACGGACTACGGTAATTAGGTTTTAGTTACATAAAAATCCCCTTTTCCTTTAATTTTTTTTTTATTTTTCCATTTGCTTTTGAAAGCTACTGGGAATTTTTAATTTTGACCTCTCAAAAGTACCAACTAGACTCACTTCACCATCAGAAAAGATGCTGAAGTGGATAATCAAATCATTATTTCTACTATTGGGTAGACAGATTAATAGTGGGAGCGCTGTCGACGGCTATCGTACTGATGGTTGGGCGGGTCCCCCCCCTACGTGGAGTCAGGAGATTGTATGTATTTTCCCGACATTTCGTATACATTTTGCTTTAAGTGAAGTGAATTTGAATGTATTTGATAATATTAGTAGAAATTATACTTACCAAAGCATACAGTTGGCTATAAAAGCGTACCTATAAAGTTTCGATACCAAAATTAATTTATTACAGAAGTTAAAATAACCAATATAAAACTAAAGGTATCTATACATCCCGAATTGGAAGGTACAAATTGTTTCCACCAAAGCGCGTTTTTTTAATCTGCTTCTCTAATAAAAATGTTTACAGACAGATAAAATAAAAATAAAAATATTACATGGTGTTGATTAGAACAAAAGTTATTTAATTTGTCTGGTCTTCCTGTTACACCTGTATATATTATCAATTGAGTATAATAATATTATATTCAATGGTATATACTATATAGGTATTATAAAATAATATTATATACCTAGCCGATTATAATTTATAGGTGTAATTGTACAAGTAGGTACTACCTACTTATAGAGAAATTCACCTATTCTACTCACTTGCAATTGGTAAATGGTATCTTCAATTTTTTTTATTTTTGAATTAAATCCATTCATGTTATTGTATTTTGCCATCAGCTCGGTATCGTACGTATGCACTATTAGAGCTTTTTTGATTTTTAAATCGTTCCTAACATGTAAGAAAATATTTTCATTGTTCGATTTACACACCTAACTAAAAATTATTATTTAGGTACATATAATATTATACTATTTTGCAATTTGTTTCATTATTATATTTTGCTTTAGTCACTGCATGTCACTATGTCAGTGGCAGCTATGTATAGTATCAGGTTTTGTTGTTGATGTATAACAAGTTATAAGTACCTAATGGATATTGTGATATGATTAATTTAGAATTAATATAGGTACCTATTATAGGTCAATTTTTTTTAATACCATAGATAAGTATATAATATGTATTACCTATACCTAACCTGACATACCGTCAGAATTGTTTTTCTAATACAATGATATAATATCATTGTATTCAAATTTTTTACCTTCCATTATACAGTGACCCACTTGTAAGCTACCGTACAGCAGAGCACCTTTTTTTATTTAATCTAAGATTTTAAAATGTGATACAAGATTCCTCATAAATTTGTCTACTTTTATCAAAAAAAAAATGTTTACAAGAAAGTCAAATTAAAATTTTATGAGCCTTCGAAATTCATATTTTTACATTATTTTGTTGTAATAAAAATACTTGAAAATTTCACGGAATGTTTATATTAACCTTTTCTATACACCATACAATTTTGAAAATAATTTGATTCTTTTTGACCTGTTTACAGACATTGTCAGTTTTCAATTTTTTTAGTTTTTTTTTCTACAAATATCAATAAAATTTTATTTGTTGGGTAAAAAAGCATGAAAATTTAATTGCAAGGCTCCAGACATATTGTTACAATAGGAGTTGAAAAATATAAAAATACACAGGCATGATTTTTTCTTATAAGCATTTAAAGTTCGAATTTCGACAAAATTTAATTATTATTTTGTAGTTAAAAATTTATAAAATGTTCAACTTTTATAGTTTTATAGCTAAGGATTGAAAATTTAAAAAAAGGTTTCACGTAAATAGGTTATATATAAATTACTTTATTCACAATAATATCATCAAATATACTTATAGTAACATGATACACTGTCTGACTGTCTTCGCTCAGAATCGTAATTCATATACAATGATATTATTATATCAATGAATTCAAATTTAACACCATCCCTTACAGTGACCCACTTCTTACCTACTGTACAGCAGAAAAACACCCCCTTGCCCACTTTTTTTTAAATTTGACAGAATTTTTCTAGCAAAACATAGGATTATGATTATATTATTATTAATAATAATTTATTATGGTAGGCTATTAGTAAATTATTTTGCATTCCACTTGCTAGAATAACAGATCACATAATTATATCTAAGCAATGTCACTAAGTTTTGTTTTTTTCACAATGGGCAGCCACCTAGAGTTTAAATTTCTTAACTTCTTTCAGATTTTATATTATATTTAAAATTGTTTACCTCCTTAATCAACACATAAATATATTTTTATTATTATTAAATTTCAGTCTATAATTGTTTATTTTTAGAATATTTATAGAATCAAAAATGATATTTTTAATTGAGTTAATTTATATGTTCATATATAAGAAAAAAAATTAATAAGGATAAATACATTATTACATAGGTATAGCTACATTTTACAAGTCATGTTTACAATAAATTGTACAGTAAAACCTATGTAATATGGAATAACGTGGAAACCTGACTTTTATAGAAAAATTGTATGATCTCAACAACTTATTATGCGTGCACATGCAATACGTCATGTAAATTACGAAATACATGAAAATTAATTATTGGAGTTTATTTTTTTTTTTGTCAAAGCAATGTATTAACTAACCTATTTATTAGATAAAGTGCTTAAAAACCAGTTTGAAGTCATCATGAAATCTACTTGAAAATCACTTTCTTACATTTTTAAATTCTTAAAATCTAATTTTTAAGTGTTAAATTTCAAAAAGGTTGAGTCGTTTTCATGTTAACTTCATAACAAATTCAATTAATGTTTTTAGAAGTTTTATCCAATGACTAGGATATTTGGTACAATTAATTGGTGTAAGACAGATAGAATCAAAACTCATAATGGAATATTATCAAGAATTGAGCTATCGGGCTTTGGGGCTACGAGAATGTTTGTCTAATAACTAATGAGTTTCATATGTGTCAACATCCTATTATTATGAACTAATAATTAACCACTAAAGGCTAGTAATCTATGTAAACCTACTATTATTTATATATATTATATTAGACAATTAACTCAAACAAACATCATATTATAAATATATTTACTTTTAATGTGGAAAAAAATACTTAATGAACATTTTTAAATAATTTAATGTATTATTGGTGGAAATTTAAAAAAGTAATGCAAATATAATAAATATAATTTAAAATAGCAAATTGTAATAAATAATAAATATATATGTTGGCAGCAATGTTTATATTTCATTGTAGTGGAGAGTTAATAAAGATATCGTCTATTTTGCAAAGTTAATGTTATTTTCTAGCTATTTTAAATAATAATGATGAAATATTCATACATTACCCCTGATTAGTGTTATAAATGTCTACAAATTTAAATATTCTAGTAATTAAAAATAATTATTATTACAGTATGATATTCATATTAATATGCTATTTTTCATCATAGTTTCAATAAAATAGATATTTTTTAAAAATACATAATATAATTAACTAAAATCCCTAATACCTAATAATAATTATTATATGAACAAATTATTAAATATAAATATCTTGATAATAATAATACATAATATATCATGAAAAATGTGTAGCTCATAATCATAGAAAAAATATAAATGTATGTATATTATTTCAATAAATAACGAAATTTAACGATTAATGAATGATTCATTTTGATAGAAGTACTTTCTTTGGATTTCCTAAAATGTCCAGTCTTTAAATATATTGCCTAATAATTGTTGACAATGACATAATTGATATCATTGCCGCTAACATATACAAATTTTATATGACCATTATCCATGGCTAAGGTGGTTCAAAGCCAAGTTAATTACAGGAAATATTTAAAATATATTATATGCTGAAGAGAGTTTGAGTGGGCGTGAAAATTATCATGACTATGTGTATTTTCAGAGATATATTCCCAACTAAGATTCTTAGAAATATCTGCAGATACACACCATGTAATTTATGTTAAAATATTTTTTTTTTACATCAATAAGACTTAAAAAAGTCGAACATGCAAAAAAAAATTTCACAATATAACAACCGCCCAATTTTTATTCAGAAAATATAATTTGATTCTTTATTCTATTTCCTTAGGTTGTGTAGGAAATATGTTATCAATTTTTATATATTATTTCATTATTTTTATTATGTTCAATGTTACCCTTTATTAATCAAAATACATTTGTACTTAAATAAACAAGAAAAAACAAAACAAAAACAATAATTTCCAACAAAAATATAAGAAAAAAGCTTAAAAATTCAAATTATTTTTCAAAATCCAAATTGGACCATATTCTGTGTGATTTTGGTTATTGGTCTAGGTATGTGTAATAACTAACTGCTTTCAACCGCCCTACTGTATTATTTAACTTTTATATTATTCTACCAAAATAATTAATGATTGACAATATAAAGGTCAATACTAAATAACAATAAAATGTTTGAACCTTAAAAAAACTAGCTGTGGAGTATAAAATAAGATATCACAGCTGATAATTTAGTAGCCAACTTTATACAATTGAATTAACATTTTCATTAAATAGAGAGGACATAATTAAACATTATAACATTTTAATTTGTACAATTTTCTAATTACAATAGAAATATAAAAATTTCATTATTTGTGATTTTGTAGAGTGTTACAAAGCCAATCCATAGCCTCATCAAGTCCTATGCCTTTTTTGGCCGATGTTTTAAATATTTGGAATGTTCGATTTTTTAAAGAGTCTAATCCAAGAGCTTGATGTATCTCAGTAACATTCATACAACCTTCAACATCTTGTTTGTTAGCTAATATTGTTAATATAGCACCATTTAGTTCTTCTTCCTATAAATTCATGGAAATTATATAAACATTAAACCAAGATGTAACTAATTTTAAAATATAGCTTACTTTTAACATATACATCAATTCGTCTTTGGCTATACCCATTCTTTCTCGATCAACTGAATCAATTACATATACTACAGCATCTGTATTTGAATAATAACACCTCCAATATGGCCTACAAAACAAATGTGTGAGAGAAAAATTAATACAATTAATATTTTAAATTAGAAACTTTTCTTATAATTTATGATAAGGCACATTTTTGGAACAACGACATAATATGGGTCTTTATTAAACAAAATATGGATATTTATTTTTCTAAAAAAGCCATCCAAAATATAAAGATAAATTTAGGTTTTATTATATAGAACAGCGATAATATATGATATAGACGCATACCAATTTATGGTGTTGCCGTGTTGGATTAAGTTTACTTACTATTGTTATGTACCTACTATATAGTATGTAATTTAAAAAAAACTGTAGGTAATTACATTAAAATAAAATATTACCTAATGGATGTCTGGCCTCCAAGATCCCAAACTTGAAATTTAATATTTTTATAAGTAACTTGCTCGACATTGAATCCTATTGTTGGAATAGTAGTTACAACTTCACCAACTTGTAACCTATACAATATGGTAGTCTTTCCTGCGCCATCTAAGCCCAAGATTAAAATTCTCAGTTCTTTTTCACCAAATAGACTCTTGAAATAACTGTAAAATCCCCCTGAAAAATTATAATTCACAATTTTTATAACAGATTCATTTAATAATTTTAAGCCAAATTTTTTTTTTAAAAATACATCACATTTTTTTATTTGGTCATAAAGATATTAACAAAACAAATTTTATACGCATTAAGAATATTATACTATTTATTGAGAATTAATTCAAAAATTCTCATTTCTGTAATTATATTTTTATTTTCTAATAAACTTTTCTATTTTCTATTAACTTTTTTACAAATTAATAAATGCCAATCAAAGAAAAAATAAATATTCAATAAAATAACAAAATAATAGAACTTATAGAACTTCATTATTATTCCCATATTCATATATTTTAAATGAAGTTTAACTTTTGAAAAAAGTTGAGGAATGAAAAAAAAATACACAACTAGCCAAGATTTGAATCCCAGTATAACCATCTAATACTCAAGTATTAAATAAAAAGTTTAAAAAAATCTCTTTAAAATAATTTATAATAATTGTTAATTTTGTTTTTACCTACCATTATTATTGAATATCAAGCAATACATGGATAAATTAAAATTTTATAGGTGTAATATAATATATAAAAGTTATTTATGCACAACAAATAGATACTAACGTAGTAACGTTTTACACTCATAATTAGTTAATCATGGCTATATTAAATAGATCAACTTGTTCCCTCTTACACACACTGAATAAAAACCAGGTGGTAACTTATTTATATTTACAATAATATCACAAAACCACATGAATATCTAACATATTTGAAATGTTGTAAATATTTAAAATAATACTTATAACCCACCAATTATAATTCCTATATGATAACACTTTATAACCTTTTCGGTTTCAAATTGGTTCAGATAGTACGTTATCAACCCATTATTTGTTGGTTGACCTGCAATAGCCGGTAGATATCTAATGTTTTGTTGTATTGTTTATTTAGTTTTTTTATTACCAGCAGTTTAGGCTACTTAGGCTTGATGTATGTGAATATAACTGACTCGTGACAAATTACTGTGTATAGCGTTGATTATCGACTTAGTGATTATCTAAAAATTCTAGGAAATTCTACAATAATAATTTCAAATTTATATTATAATGTTTTGTTTTATTAGAAGCATCAGAAATGAAAACATAACACATTGAAAATTAAAATAATTTATAATTTTCAATCAATTATATTTTATATGAGGTAAAGCTTATATAAGGTAAGCTAGATTTATAAAACAAAACAATTATTTTATGTAGTTATAACCAAACATACATTTATTGTTTTAAAAAAAAAAAAAATATTCAACAAATACCATAAAAACCCACAGATATTAACTATTTTAATTTAAAAACTATAGAAAATGTGAATAAATATTTATATTTTCTATAACTGCTTGGCACACATAATCCAAGTTTGCCGCATCCCGTTTCAGAACCAGTAAGAATATTCGACTTTCTGAGTACAAAGACACTGAAGTGCTAAATTTAACAAGGTAGGTACTTTGGCAGTGAAGTACATTTTATTGTTATAAGACAAATTATATGAGGCCGGGTGGAGTAATGCAATAGTAATCTCCCATGATCTCACAATTAAAAAAGAAAAACAAAATGCAGATAGAATATAACTAGATAGATTTTGATAAAATTTGTTTTTAACTACCAGTTTAAATAAATCTTGTAGGTATATGCTTCACGTCACAGAATAAATGTACCTATATATGAGATTACATTATTTAGATTTTTCTTGCTTTTTTTGTGCATTTTATGCTTTTTGTTATTTTTAATACCTATTTAGTTATAAATTATAAACAATCTAACAAAATTAAACAAAACATATTAACATAATTTAGCAACAAATTAAAACACCACAAACTACAAACTTCATTTCATTCTAAAACCTACTCAAGAAGTTACTTTAAAAATTGAAAAATTGTCATAGGTAAGTACAATTATATAATAAAAATATTTTGCATATCGCCCGCCGCAGCGAAAAAGGTCGTATCTCACTTTTTTTCATATTCGAGTTACGACCGTATTCGAATAAAGAATAATTTTCTTTACTACCCACAAAAACGGTCGTATCTCTAGCTATCCAAAGAGCTTAGAAAAACAATTTAATTAAAATGCACCGACAATGTGATTACCAACGAAAACAGTTGTATGTTTAGATACGACTTTTGATAAGATATATTACCCGCGAAAAAACGGCGTATCTCATATCACAAATATAGTCATTTGAATTGTTATTAATATTTTGTACTCAATATTTAATTGTGAGTAGCTTACATTGCTTATAAGCTTACTACTTTTACTTAATGACTAAAGAGTCAATCAAGAACCAATTAGGTACAATAGGATATTAATAATACTGGATACCTATGTTTATGGGAATATGAGTAGTGATCCCGATGAGGATAATGAGATTAATAATATTTGTAATATCCCAATACTAGATCAGGTAATATTAATATAACTAAAATATTATAAAAATGTATTTTGTTATTCTTAGGTAATAATAATAATATGCTTATAATTTATATTATTATTATACTGATTCTTTGGGGTTTAGTAAGTTCCCACACGAAACATAGCAGGTAAGCGGGTACATATTTAAGTTCCCTCACGGAAAAAAATACACCCATACGTAAGTTCCCACACAAAAATTTATTCAGACTTAGAACTGACAGCTTAAACGTAGTTGGTCTAAATATATAATCAAAATTAATAATATAATGTAAAGGTATAGTCCACTTATTATTTGTACTTTCGCGAGCGTTTGTAGTATCAAGACTTGTATCAGAACTAGCACTAGCCCAAATACTAAGGGGAAACTATATCAATAACAAAATATCAGATTACAACTTAAAAATAATTACATAGTATGACTATGTGAAGGGTTTGAGCTTTCGCAATAAGCCAAATAAAATTTAATTTTTTCTATTACTATTATAATAATTATTATAACTATTATTATTTTATACCTACTTAAACAAATAATATGAGGACCATACCTAGTACCTACACATTATATTATTAATTTTTATTATATTTTTGGACTAGATTTAATTAAAAAATTGATTGTACTTTTTTTATGAAACACAAAAACGAGCAGATTTTAACCAAACCAACTACATTTAAGTTGTCAGTCCTAAGTCTGGATAAAATAGGAAGGAAGTTTGTATTTGGTGTAATTTTTTTTCGTGGAACTTACGTATGCATACCCGGGTGTGATTTTTACCTGCTATATCTCGTGTGGGAACTTACATTCGCCCGATTCTTTAACTACAGGGTTTATTTTGCATTGAGGATAGTGGTTCAGATATTTATGATAGCGACAAAGACCCAGATACACCCCTCAATTAGACAATTTAAGTGTAGTCAATAATGATAATACTTTTGTAAATGATGACTATGGAGTTGGTGATAATGATAATATAAATTATGTAAATTATCCAAAATCTTATTAGTATTTAATAATAATAATATATTATATTAAATTATTAGTAATAATGGTAAAAATAAGTAAACAAATAATTTTTATAATAATATTATTATTATGTAGTTATGAATTCATAATACTTTTGTTATTTGTTAATATTTATTTAAATTATTTGTTAACACAATATTATACTAATAAATAATATAATGTATTATTATATTTTAATATTATCACATTGAAAGGTACCTTTTTTAATATTTTATACATTTTGTATTTTATTTTGTTATGGTAGAACCCTAGTAATGTTGTGGATGTTCCAAATAAAAAAATAAAACGTGTTATGACTCCCAGTGTAAAACTTCAGAGGAAGCGTCTGAAAAATGTTCCTAGCTGGAAGGATGTTAAATCAAAAAAAGAACTAAATTTAGGGTTGGAGCATAATAATAGATCAGGTAAAAATAAAAGTGCAAAAACCATGGGTCTACCTTGTAAATACAAGATGAAATGCTTTGATAAAATTAGTGATAATATGAGGAAAACAGTATTCGATTGTATTATTAATTTGTATTATATTCATTGTAATGTAGGTATAAGACATTCTACTCTCATCCATTGTTTAAACTAACTCATTATAATCGTTGAATTTAGGAACTTATGTAAGTTATTACTGACAATAAATCTGAATTTATCTTATGCATAAATACTATACCTATATAATGCCTAATACAATTATTACAATTATAGAGAGACCAGAAAGATTCCACTTAACCAGTCCATAGAATTTAGATAGTCGATAAGCTTTTGATTGCATGAACATTGAATTGAATCTGTAATCTTAAGCTCTTATTATGTGTATAGTGTATAATATGTGAGGCAACTGTGCAATTCTGTATGTCCAACATGGTAGTCCTATACAATATTTATAATCAGTGATATCAAAATATAAAAACTAACAGCACACTTGTGTGGTTGTTGTACTAGAAAATTTGGGAGCACGACGAATGTGAAATTAAATCGAAAACAAAGCACAGAAAAAACGATACAATCAGATTTAGATTGTTGGTTATCCACCAAGACAGTAATAGGTAGATCAAGATAGAGGATCAGGATAGAGCAATTACATAACTTCCAAGCACTTCAAACACAGCACAAAGGCTGATAGGCAGGTATCATCAAATCCATTTGAAGGAGATCAGGTCTATAAGAGCTTAAGGGACCTGCGACCCGGGTTGGAGATGTCGAGCACCGACTTTACGGAGACGAATCACAACACCCAATCGTTTGCGCTTACCCATTGTCAAAGTGACAGATCGGCTGGTGGCTGGTGACAGACAACGTGGACGGTATTCTGTGTCTCTCGCGTCGGCTGTTGGCTTGACTTCGACGATGACTACTTCAGACCGACTGCAGAACGTCAGAGCGGGCGACGATTCTTCCAGACAACGCGAAATAAACACCAAATAGCGGCAATCAAAATCGTTATTCGGAAATGATTGGTTGTCGAATTTATTGTTGTAGTCGTAGAAATATTATTAATTATTCTTATATAGTTGCATTAATCCGATGCGACTGCGATGTGTGATGTTCCGATGAGGAGGCGACCTGGCGACGATAAAAAGTAATAAGTAATAGCTAATAAGTCATAACGCGACGGCTGCTGCTGCTGTTAAGGCGTGTTGTTGTGGACACTGTGTGATCCGGGGCGGGGGGTGAGGGGCAAAACGGTTTTTGTTTTTTGCGTTCTCTTATCAGCCTGCAGCCGTCGCCGCTCTTCGTCACCTATACTTGTCTATGGTCACGCTTCACAATCACACACTCACACGATTACACGACTACACGAGTCACGTCGTAGTTTGCCGCCGCCGCTGTCTACGTGTCATTTAATGAGTATTGACTATTTTTTTTTATAATAACTAATAGTATGGGTAATAATCATAATATATTATACTTATATATGGTAATAATGTAATATGACTCATTATATAGTGGTGACCACGAACATATAATAATAGTAATAATAGGTAATAATACTTAATAGGCCATAATAGGTGGTGACCAAGAGGTTTTTTTTTTATCAAGTTTGCTAGATGTTGCTCTATATAATATATCCCCTCTTACAAAAAAAAAAAATGTTACCTACTTTACATAACTTAGTTTCACTTAGCCTATTATTATAATATAGGTACCTATTGTAGTGGTAAGTAGTACCAATGCAATTTACACACAACCATGGCCTTATATGAGGGGGGTTTCGGGGGTTCAAACTTCAAGCCCCCGTAATATTTTATAGTTAATAAATTTAATTTATGTAACTTAATTATAATAATTTACCATGTGGCAATGTGGGTACCTAATAATATGATAAATATATTATGTTTGATTATTGATTATATATATAGACTATATAGACTATAGGTATTGTTAAACATTTTATTATAATCCAACTAATACAAATTCTGATGTCGTTTTCTATAATAATATAATATAATATTATTATATTATACATAGATAAGTCGCACACTATTAAAGGCGTTTTGTTGTCGGACGCGAAACGTCTATAATAGCAACAATAAATGATCGCCCGTATTTTATCTCGAAAAACTCCATGGTATCGTCAGTACACACAGAAATAGCATTATTAATAATTTTGAATTTTTATAATATTATCATTTTCTATACACCATTACATTTTTTAAATATTTTGATTTATCTTTAGCTGTTTACGGACTTTTTTAGGTTTTTTTTCTATAGATAACTATAATATTTTATTTGTTTGGTAAAAAAGCTTAAAAATTTAATACAAGGCTCCTAGTTTATTGTTACAATGCCATTTGAAAAATATTAAAAATCCTTAGTCACAATTTTATTTTATAAACATTTAAATTTCAAATATTGACAAAATACGTAAAAGTCACGAAAATGTGCAAATTATTTTGAGTTAGAAATTCATAAAAATGTTTCTTTTTAAATCTAAGATTTGAAAATATAACACAAGATTTCTCATAAGATTGCCTACATCTACCGAAAAAAAATATCTTATGTCAACTCAAATCCAATTTTTATGAGCATTTTAAGTACATATATTTACAACATTGGATATTCACTCGATTTCTAATGTAGTGACTTTCTTATTTTGTTATAATTCAAAAATGAATAACTGTAGATGCATGGAAATTTAACTAAATGTTAATATTCTCATTCTCTATACACCATACAATTTTGAAAATAGTTTGACTCGTTTTGAGCTATTCACGGACATTTTCAGTTTTCAATTTTTTTAGTTTTTTTTCCAGAATTGTCAATAAAATTTTGTTTGTTGGGTAAAAAACCATGAAAATTTACTAAAAGGCTCCTGTTATATTGTTAGTATAGTAGTTGAAAAATATTAAAAATAATTTTTTTTTTAAAGCATTTAAACTTTAAAGTTTAAATGTTGACAAAATTTAAAATTATTTTGTAGTTAAAAATGTATAAAATGCTCAACTTTTATAGCTAAGGATTGAAAAATTAAAACAAGGTTCCACGTAAATATGTTATAACTTATAATATATTAATAACTTTATTCACAATAATATCATCAAATATTATACTTAATAATATCATAGCCCATAGGTAGGCTGACCTAACCATCTTGGCTCAGAGCCGTTTTTCTTATACAATGATATTGTATCATTGGATTCGGTTTTAATACAATCCATTACAGTGACTCACTTGTAACCATCTGTACAGCAGAGCGACACCCACTTACCCACCTTTTTTTTTTGTTTAAAATAAGTGTTAGTTGTTTTTTTTCATTAGGTAGGTACCTCTGGTACCTACAATGAAAATATTATTTAATTTAACCCCCCCCCCCCCAAAAAAAAAAAGAAAAAGAAAAATTGTTCCAGCTACGGCCTTGCACACAACATTTTAATTTTTATAGTTACAAAAAGTAATGAATATTATGATGTTAAATAATTTTATAGGTACTAAGACACTAGGTAGGTAACTACGTACAAGACCGTAGCTGGAACAAATTTTCGGGTAGGGGGGGTATATTTTATGTTATTAATATGCCTGTCATAATTTTACAAAATTTTCTTATTACGATATAGGTACTTTAGTTAAAATACAAAATTGAAAATGGTGATACCCATAGGCGTGCGCAGGGGGTATGCAGGGTATGCAGCTGCGTACCCTGAAGCTCTTTGAGGGGCAAAAATCGTTTTTGGAAAAAAAACTTTTGTGAGCAAGAAAAACAATTACTAATTTTAGTGCGACCTAGGAGTGTTCATATTATTATGTTGAAACTCGAAACCCGTTCGTCCTCCGTCGATGTGCTCGCCTGCGCATTGTTCCCCTTATACATTTACTAAGCAATCATTTTAAATGCAATAAAGATGAATTGGTAGCTGAAATAAATTTGTTACAAAACCATGAAATAATAACAAAACAAATTGAAAGCAACTTGGGCGCTAAAATGCTTCATATTTGACTTCAATGGTTAAAAAATTATGATAAACAAAATATTTTTGGACAATTTACTAACATTTTAAAGAAGTGAAGTTCGCAGTTATACCGGTCACAAGCTGTACATGTGAACGATCATTTTCAAAATTAACTTTGGTAAAATCTAAGTTAAGAAGTACTATGCTTCAAGAAAGACTAAATGCATTAATGCTTATAACGGTAGAACAAGAAATGGCTATTAACTCAAATCCCGACGATATAATTGATCATTTAAAAAATTCTACACAACGCAGAATGGTGTTATTATAAAATATATTATTTATTAATATGATAATGTTTTTTTTTGTTTGTTTTTTAATTGTACAAGTTGTATGACATAACTATTTTAAGTTTTATTACTTTTATTTTTATTTTTATTTGAGTTTTAAGTAAATTTTTTTGAATTAAACAGTAAAACATTTGAATATTTGTGTATTGTGTATATATTTTATCAGAATTTTACATGCTTAAAATATCTTTCAGGGGGTGCCTGTGGTAATCCAGTGCTTAATTTGGGGGGAGGCAAATGTACAAAATTGGCTAAACACAGTGTAAACAGTGGGGAGCTAATGTAATTAGGGGGGGATATTGCCCCTCCCCCCTCCATCATGGATCCGCCACTGCTTCTGCATACCCTGAACAAGAGGGCTGCGCACGCCTATGGTGATACCTATAATATTATAGAATACAGGTAATAGGTATTATGAAACAAAACTCAAGAGTAACCTAATTATTAACTTTGGTACTATAAAAGTAATTTAATATGATATCATCGTGAAATTATTTTTTATATAAATTTAGTTTCTTAAAATATGACATATCGGGCGTCGGGGACTCGCCTGAAAGTAATTAACTACTAATTACTTTCATAATTAGTTTCAATAAAAATAATAACTCTTTAATCTACAAATAATGTACAGTTATGTTTATATGATTTTATTAACAATTCCTTTTTATCCTGGTACATTTTTACCAGGCACCTTTTTTTTTGTTTATCGCTGAGACCATACTTATTAATAAAGTCGTAGCTTATAATAGTTTTTCCTAATTTTAACGCTAGGTATTTATAACGTTAATTCAATATCACAAGTTAACTATAATTCTTCTAATGTATTACAACTGCCTTATACAATTCTGTAAATCGTACTTATTAGTCAGTACTCAGTCGTGATATTCCACCCAGCGTGTCTCACATATTGACGTGAGTTTGGTCAGAAAATTATTCTTTAATGTAGGTATTTCTTTATAATTTCTGTTCACATTGGTGAATTTTTATGAAATTGCCCATCGAATTTAAGTATAGTACTAAATACTTATACACTTACAGAGAGAGCCTAATTTGAAGAACAAACACATAAAGTGCGGCTGTATATTCTTTTCGAATAATAAATCGCTTGCACTAATTTCCGCTCTGTCATACCCTCTATAGCCGCCCCGTCATGGCGTCATACCCTTGTCTTAAGTACCATAATATATACTTCGGATTTATACCAAGAGAATGAATCTTTTCTAAAATGATATCGGCTAAATGTTTAACCGACGTATTTTCTATCAACACGAATTTTAAATCTTTTTAATATTAATTAAATTTTAAATCTTCACGTAAAATTAATTTATGTACCTACTGGATATTCATTGATATAATATATATCGAATACAAAATTACATTTGTTCAGTTCGCAGTATATCAGTCGTCTCGTCTACTAAAATTAAAAATTATTTTGCCCTATTGATTTTGTTCACTAAAAAATCTTGAATAGTTGTAGTAGGTAGGTACTATTTTTCCAATGACATCGATTAATTTATTTTGTATAGTACTATAGTAGGGCTTATATACATGTAGCTCCTTTAAATGTGTAATTTTCAATATGATCGGTGATCGGTCATTTTCGACAATTTCATTAGCACTCTCTGAATCAATTTTTTGACAAATATCGAACTGTTTATACCTATTTTTAGTTATCATCAAATTTGACCGTGATTTTTTTGTTTCAATGAGGAATAACAATTTTAGTTTTGTGTTATTATTTATAAAAAATTATTCTTCTAAAGAATTCTTCTAAAAAATCACAACTTCAAAGATTATTATACACAAATAATATTAATTCAACTTGACGACTACCGTATTCATAATCACAATATATTATTTTATATAAGTATATAGGTAATATATAATATATATAATATAAAATATCCTAGGCAGTAGGCTGACAAACGTTTCCGCTCAGAATCGTTTTTCGTATACAATGATATTGTATCATTGAATTAAAATTTAACATCATCCATTACAGTGACCTACTGTACAGCAGAGTGATACCCACTTACCCGTTTTTATGTATTGATGATATTGAAAAAATAAATACGTTACAGCCTACGACACAGCAAATAATAAAAAAATATAAGATGAATAAATTTAGTTTCTAAACTATGACTGAGTGACGTAGCGTGCCTACTGTATGTGTTCCAATGTTGCGAAATTATTTTTCTGTTTCATAGCGTATTATTCATCAAAGAGCAAATGTAGTGAAAATGCCTTAAATGAAATGCTTTAAAAGTCTAGTACGTTTCCTAAAGAATTCAATAAAATTGCCTATATCAAACCCCTTAAAAATCAATTTTGTTGCCCGATTTTCTATAGGTACCAGAAACCATTGTTGAGATTAATAGATTTTTCAGAATCAAAACGTAGTGACAGATACAAATAAAAAATAAAAACCACTGATAGGTTAGTTATAAATTATAAACAAAGCATAAATTATATTATAATTTATAAATTATAAGTTACAATATACCTAATATACATGTTTTGTACCTACATTATTTTCTGTGCATAAAGTTAAATAAAGTTAACAAATTAAACAGAAAATATGAAAATGTAATACCTATTTCAATCAATCAATTTATTATTGATTACATGGTAGTATTAGGTACACTACACATTGAATAATAAATATAATATTTACATAAATAACAAAGGTGCACCATCAAAATATCCCTGTTAAAAATATCCTACATTGAAAATATCCTACATACAAAATATCCCCAGTAAAATTATCCCTTTATTTAATTTTTTTAAATAGTTTTTAAATTTAAATTATATTTGTATTGTTTTTGGCAACTTACCGTATTATCTAAAAATTTACATTGTTTTAAATAAAATATACATTAAAAAAAATTGAAAAATTACACAAAAATAAATAAACAAATTACACATGGCTTCAGTTTTGGTTTTTAGTTTTTAAAAATTTCTGAATACCTAAGTTTCTTTTGTTCGGTCAGTCATTGAAATATAAATTAAAAATAGGATAACTATAAATGACTATTATAATGAAGAATACATACATTGCATTGTATATTAAAGGATATTTGTAACGGGGATATTTTTAACGAGGGATATTGTGATGCACGGGATATTTTGAGGGGTAACCCATAACAAAAGGGTGAAACTGTGAAAGTATAAGTAACTGACGTCTGGCCCTAACTGCTCTGCTGAATAGGAGTCAAGTATACCTCCTACCAAGCCACCTAGGTCACTTTAATGAATGTGTTAATGTTGAAAACTTTTATATTTTAATATTAATTCAACTTACCGGCTACAGTATTAATAATAACAATATATTATTTAATATTTATTATATACAATATCCTAGGCTGACAAACTGTCTCCGCTCAGAATCGTTTTTCGTATATAATGAAATTATATAATTGAATTCAAATTTAACACCATTCATTAAAGTGACCCATTTTAACCTACAGTACAGCAGAGTGATACCTGCTTTTTTGTATTAATGATATGAAATAAATAAGCACTTATGATACAAGCAAATGATAAAAAGGTGCTCTGCTGTACAGTAGGTTACAAAAGTGGGTCACTGTATAATGGATGGTATTAAATTTGAATTTGATGATATAATATCATTGTATAAGAAAAACAATTTTGAGCGGAGACAGTATGTCAGTCTAGGTTTAAGATATATTATATACAAATCTATGTTATTAAAAAAAAAAATTACCTTTAATAGGTACCTATAATAAATTCTAAATTAATCATACCACAATATCCATTAGGTACTTATAACGAGTTAAACATCAACAATAATCAGTGATAGATATGATCATGGATATATAATAGAACACTTTAGAAGTTTCAAGTACCAACGAATAATATTATACAATCACAACAAAATAACTGAAATAGTTATTCTAGGTTTTTTTTTTATGTAATTTGGTCCAAAGTTGAACTTAAAATGTCTATACAAATAAACTGTGCTTATGTATTTCTAAGAATTTTTGGTAACAGAATTAACTACTTCGGTGGAATCTTATTTTAAATTTTCAATCCTTAGATATGAAAGTTGAACATTTTATACATTTTTAACTACAAAATAATTATTAAATTTTAAATTTTGTCAAAATTTGATCTTTAAATGCTTATAAAAAAAAATTGAGCCTGTGTATTTTTATTATTTTTCAACTGATATTGTAACAATATATCAGGAGCTTTGTATTACATTTTTACACTTTTTGGCCCAACAGATAAAACTTTATTGATATTTATAGAAAAAAAAACTAAAAAAATTGAAAACTGTAAATGTCCATCAACAGCTAAAAAAGAGTCAAAATATATTCATTGTGTGGTGTATAGGAATTGCTAATATAAACATCCAGTGAAATATTCATGTATCTACAGTTATTCGTTTTTGAATTACAACAAAATAAGGAAATTGCTACATGAGAAATCGAGTGAATATCCAATGTCGTAAAAGTTTGAATTTCAAACTCTCATGAAAATTTAATTTGACTTTAATAAAAATATTTTTTTTTTTTTGATAAAGGTAGATAATCTTATAAGGAAACTTGTATTACATTTTAAAATCTTAGATTTAAAAAGAAAAATTTTTACGAATTCTTAAGAGGATGTCAGCGCACTATTTGTTTTCTCACTCTGACCCACACGCAATATAGACAAAACGAATTTACGCAGAAACATTTTTTCTATGTTTTTAAGTAATCTTAGAGTAAAATCACCCATTACAAAAAAGATAGAGAATAATATTTTTGAGGGAATGTCATATCGATTTGTCTAAATATTGTCTCAAAACAATTTAAACATCATTTTAATGTACAACATTTTTTTGTTTATTTTGAAAGTAGAATACAAAGTCAAATAATAATAAAATATAAAATCGATATGACATTCACTCAAAAATATTATTCTCTATCTTTTTTGTGATGGGTGATTTTACTCTAAGATTACTTAAAAACATAGAAAAAAATGTTTCTGCGTAAATTCGTTTTGTCTATGTTGCGTGTGGGTCAGAGTGAGAAAACAAAGTGTGCTGACATCCTCTTAACTCAAAATAATTTGCTAATTTTCGTGATTTTTTCATATTTTGGACTTTAAATGCTTAAAAAAAAAACCGTTACTAAGGATTTTTAGTATTTTTCATCTGCCTTTAAAAAAATATACTAGGATACTATTATATATATACTATATACTATTCAATTTTCAAGTATTTTTACACAACAAATAACATTTTATTGATATTCATAAAAAAAAAAACTTATAAAATTGGAAACTGGAAATGCTCCTGAACAGTTAAAAATAAATCAAAATATTTTGAAAATTTTATTGTTATAGAAAATGCATATATAAATAACCAGTGAAAATTTCATGTATCTACGGTAATTTGTTTTTTAGGTACACCAAAAAACCAAATTTGATTTTATTAAAAAAATGTTGCGTAAAAATTCCTGTTTTTCCTTAATTTTTCTTTTGTTTTTTTTTGGCGCTTTTGAAAACTACTGGGAATTTTAAATTTTGACCTCCCCAATGCACCAACAATATTCACTTACCACGAACGAGATACTGAAGTTGAAAATCGAAGCATTTTTTCGACTTCTTATCGTGTCCACACAAATAAAATTAAAAAATTTAAAAATTAAAAATTAAAAAAAAAACACACATCATTGTAAAATCAATACATTCATCGTTCCACTCAAAATCTAAAAAAATTTAAATTAATTAAAATATCAATAAACATCTCAATAGGACTTAAAATAATTTTAAGATGTTATCATCTATAGAAAATGATAAAATAAACATGTAGTGACAATTATGTGGTTATTCGTTAATCGTTTTTGAATTACAACATAATAATACATTTTAGAGATAACTATAGATTTTACAGTTTTTTTTTAATATTTTTGTATAAGTGTTAATTTTATAATAATTTTTTGTAGTGCTTTAATATTTTTATTTAGAGTAATAGGTATTTGAAAAAAAATGATCTAGTTTGATTTAGTTTTATCGAATTAAGCTTTATATTATGATAAGATCATATTTTATTCTAATACAATATACGATTTCAACAACATACTTGATACTTTTCATAAAAATGATTTATCAACAAATATGAACCTATTTAAAAAAATTGTGTGTATACATAAATTACATTTAAATTGTTTGTTATGACACATATTTAGCATGTTACTGAATTAACAAATGTGGAAGAAAGAAATACATCATTATAGGTACAAAAAATGTATTATTTTTGCGGACCTCTAATTATTTTTTATAATATACCCACATGTCCCAATACACAATGAACATGATATTAGATTAAAACTTTATTTCTTGTAACAGGTTATTAATTAATAATTTACCTAATTTTTGTATTTTATAATTCTTTATAAATACCAATTAAGTAGGTATGTAAATTATATGTAAATATTTGAAAAATAAACAATTTTTAAAGTTTTAATTCCTACTATGCACTGTTTTTAAGTTAGCAAATTTTAAGTTTCTCAACAAATGTTTAAAACACGTATTATATCCCCATTTTGTACATCCGATTTTTAGTTACCAGTAAATATAATTTAAGAATTATAGACGTATATATTAAAGAGGGCAACAATTTAGAAAAAACATTTTTTTCTTATATTTTAATGCAATTTTATATAAGTTTTAAGATTTATTGCCAATAAAATGATGCGATTCAACAAATGTTTATAACGTTGTCAAAGTGTACAATTAAAAATACAATATATGGCAATAGGCAAATTAAATACACTAAATAAATTTGGAATTAATAGTAAAATTAAAATTAGTTTGGTACATTGGATGAAAATTACATTAATCATCAATTAATTGTAGCACACCAAAAAAAAAAAAAAAAAACAAATCTTAATAATTAATAATAATTTTAAATAAATAAAATTTACTCTTTCTTAAAAAATAATAGTTTCATGAGTTTATACTCGTAAATAAATAATAACTCAATTGAAAAAAACAGTTTTCTTTGGTGTACCATTAATAATTAATCATAAAAGAAGGATATTGACTTAACAATTAACATTAAGTTTAAATATGGCAATTTACAAGATAACTACAAAAAAATTAATGAATAATAAATAGTGTTAGAAATAAACAAAAATTAAATTAATAATACTGTTGCAAATAAATACTTTTTAATTAAATAGGATAAATATTATTTTGTATGTTTGTTTCATTATCCTGTTTTTAATGTTTCAATATCTTTAGCTGTTTAATCTTCTGAAAATAGTTGCTTATAAAGTTTGTCAATAATCATTTCATGTGTTTCTTTAATCTCAGTTACACGTTCATCTTCATGATTGCCTGAGTTGCATTGCTCATTACTGTCAATGCATTTAACTTCATCTGACACATTGTCATCGCCATCTTGAATTTCAAGATTGCTTTGTTCATTGCTATAGCAAACTTCAGTAATATTATTTTTATCTGCTTCATTCCAGTTATTTTCTTCTTCATTCTGGTTATTATCTTCATCATCAAATTTAAATTTTGCCACACGTGAATCCTCACCCTCAATATCGCTTAACATATGTCGAACAGACTGAAATCCTCCTGCCACAGCTAGATGTGCTAATTGCCCAGTTGGAGCCTTTCCTTTTCTGCGTCTGCAAATGCTACAGTTACAATATCCACGACAAGGTGGACAGGCCCATTTCTTAAAAAAAAAAGTACAAAATACGAATAAGTATTTTAAAATTATGACTAATGATCACTTAAAATTTACCGGATTACGTAAAACTTCTGCAACATCTTCGCCGTATCTTCTTCCCAAACAAAATCCACAAAAATTTCCCCTCACACCACTACATCCCTTGTACCGACAATAAGATTTTTGGTCTGTAGTCTTTTGTCTAAACACAAAATAATATTTTATTTTATTTAAAATTATCAACTAATGAGACATAATTAAACATAGTATGCCGTTCACATACATTTTAAACCAAAAATCGAAATTTAAGTTAGCAAGGTATACAGACATGTTAAATTGTATAATTAAAATAAGCTCCAAATTTCAATATTATAGTAACAATACCTAGTATTTTTAAGGTTAATAATAATTAATAAATAATATAATCTTATAAATTACAATATATTTAATTTCAAAAACCATATAATAGGTAGGTACTTCAATTGTACTTGATCATAATAAATTAAAGATACATATGAATACTGTTAAGAGATATATAATTTTTTATTAATTCAAATACATTTGTTCAATAAAAAACGTTGAAATTATGCAATGAGTTATTTATAAAAATGTGTAATAAATTATTTGTCCTTTAAAAATAACAGTTATGCAAAATTAGACGGCTGATTTTTAGGGTTTTACACATTATATTTATTGATTTTTTTTAGCTCAACAAAGGTGAACAATCTGAACAACTTAAATATTACAAATGTGTAAGAAAAATTTATTTTGCATATTAAAAAGTATATTTGGAAAATATTAAGCCTACATTTCATACTTAAGAATACAATGAACTAATGTTCATAAAAATAATATTTATTAATTTCTGAAGTTGCAACCATTCCGCCGTGAGAAAAATGTTTTGTTGTAGTTAAAAAAATTCAAATAATAGGAATCGTTAAATAACTTGTTGGTAAATAAATTGGAAACTGTTTTGAATGTGACTGAATTTAAATAATTTTTCAAAGAAAAGGTAATTCAATTATTATTTTTATTAAATTATATGCAATTAGTGTATGGTTAATTTGAATATTAAAAATGTATAAAGTTTAATGTAAACACCAATATATACTTATAATTTATAAAGTTATACATAATATGTTTCTTATTGTGAAACATGTATAGATTTTTAAATTCTTTAAAGTAAATACAAAAAACCATATATTACCAGTTTAAGGATTTTTAAGATTAAATTTTTAAATTTTTTTTAAAGCATATTATAAAAATCCTATTTTAGATTTTTAAGAACCTAAAAATCTACTCTTTGTTAATAATACATTTATTATACACATATTATGAAATAATGAAACTATAATATTTTATTTTATTATTATTAAGATGGCGATTTAAGTGCCTAAAAACAAAAATTATAAACATGCATCTATAAATTATATTAAAATAATCATATTGTCTAAAATATAATATCTTCTTGTAGAGCTAAATTATAAATTACCGGGATAAAAATATTACTATGCATCAAAATTCCAAATTTATTCATAATATTCATTTAGTCTATTATGATAATTATAAAACTTAAATACTTTAAATAATTTTTTTGCAAACAGATTTACCTGCATTGGTGACAAGTTGTACCAGATTGACTATATACTTTTCCTGATGAAGAGTATGAAATATTTTCTATCATTTCTTGTGTTACTTGAGAAACAGCCAATCGAGGAGTATAAACTTTACGCTTTCTTTTTGATCCAGGCTATATAATATGATTCAATATAAGTTAAATATAAACCAGAAAATAAAATTGTATTTAATAACTGATACATACTGCAGATGACTCATAGTCAGATCCATATTCTTCATCATCGTCATAAATAAAATCGCTATCAGCAAGTGAGTTATAGTACACCACGTCTGATTTTTGATATTGACTTGGTTTTAACCAACGAAATCTGACTTTTAATGATCCATTTTTGAGTTTCTTTTTGTCATTCTTGTCATTTTCATCATCACTTTGTTCATTATAATTTGTTGATTGCCTATATATAATAAACACACACATAGTTACATATATCTATATTATTATAAGCAAATTAATATATATGTCAAGTATGGTAAAAAATAAAAATTAATAGTCATTAAGTATGAACAATTTAATTGCTAGCAAAACTCGTATGCTTGTATTTATCATATTTAAAGGATGTGATACCCGCATGTGTTGTCTCTGTCTTACAAGTGCATAATATAGCGCATTTTACGCACAGCAAAACATTCCAATTTAATAATTAGAGTAAATTGACCTCTTATAAAATCTAAAGGTAAGATTATTATCTGGACAACCTCATAGACTTTTTAAAGCTAGTTATGACTTTATGAGTACTTTAAAATGTACAAACAATTTACAATTTTAAAATACTCATAACTCGGTTTAAAATTAAAATATAATAATAAGGTTGTCTAGATAGTAATCTTACCTTGAGATTTTATAAGAGGTCAATTCACTCCAATTTTTAAGCTAACACAGCTACAAGTGTTCTGCTGAGTGTAGAATTTGGTATGTTAAGCACTTGTAAGACGGAGACAACCCATACGCATATCAAGTCCTCTTAACACGTTGACTGCCATGCGGCAGTCGGCGGTCGCATCGCTATCTTTCCTACAAAGCCACGTTCTATTTTCGATGTTATTCCATAAATGTACATTAGCATATTTATAGAACAAATTATCGGAAAAAAAAAATTCCCAGATTATTATCTTTGTTATGTCTGTCTGCGTAAGAATATGATATTTAAAGTGTATGGTAGCCGGCGGTCGCATGGCGTTGTCATTATAATATAATTAGTCAGTTGCCATATGACCGCCGGCAGTCGTACATAATAAAATTACGTGTGATATTTTATTGTAATTTTTTATTTTTAATTATGGCGTCACGTCCAAAGAGACTTAAAGTAAATGACGATATGGTACGTCAATTATTAGACACTGATGATAGTGGAAGTTCATTTAGTGATTTCGATGACACAGATGAAGACCAAACCTACAACCCAATTATAACTTCTGATTCAGATGAACAAAGTGAAACCAGCGATACCGAACATTCACAAGAAACAATATTACCGGTTTCAAATCCTGGTGTTCAAATTTGGTCCAATGTAACAGGTAATAATCAAAAACAGCTCGTTTTTAATGGTTTTCCGGGATTAAAAATTAATATATCAGCTAATGCCACTGTTTGGGACTGTTTTAATTTATTTTTCACTGATGACATTATTGAACTTATTGTTATTGAAACGAACAGAAACGCAGAACAGTTTTTATCAAATAATAGAATTTCCAAGTCTAGCAGGTTTACAAAATGGGTTCCTACAGATTCAAAAGAGATTAAATTGTTTTCGGGTTTATTAATATGGATGGGACTCGTTGAAATGCCAAATTTAGGTAGTTACTGGAGCACCAAACATAGATATAAAAACTATGTGGCACAAAAAACAATGTCTAGAAATCGCTTCGAATTACTTCTAAGATTTTGGCACTTTTCAGACAATAAAAAAGCCCCTGAAGGTGATCGTATTTATAAAATATGTAATATAATTGATAAAATTGTAAACCGTTTTCAAAATGTAATGGAACCATGCGAGGTATTGGCCGTCGATGAGACAATGGTACCTTTTCGTGGCAGATTATTATTTAGACAATATATACCGGGAAAAGCTCATAAGTACGGTGTAAAATTGTTTAAACTTTGCGGAACTAATGGTTATACTTATAACGTTCAAGTTTATGGAGGAAAGAGTCAAGTGGATGGAAAGGGATTGGGTTGTAGAGTTGTTCTAGATCTAAGTAGAAGATATTTAAACATGGGACGTACAATGGTCACGGATAATTTTTACACTTCAATTACACTTGCAAACGAACTTTTAACTAATGATACACACCTAGTTGGAACTCTGCGATCAAATAGAGTAAAATTACCTGAATTAACAAAAAAAAAGTTAAGTCCCGGGGAAATAATCGGAAAGGAAAATTCAGACGGTATTATTGTTGCGAAATGGCGTGATAAAAGGGATGTAACTATGTTGTCGACAAAACATAATATTGATATGATTGACACAGGAAAAAAGAACAAAAAAAAAGAATCGATAGTTAAGCCTAAGATAATTGTCGACTACAACTCCGGAAAAGCGGGAATTGATCTATCGGATCAACTGTCTAGCTATAGTACGGCTGTTCGTAAGTCTATACGTTGGTACCATAAGGTGGCGACAGAAATACTGTTTGGAACTGCTATGGTAAATGCTTTAATAGTTTACAATACAATTAATTCAGATAAAAAAATGAAGATAACACAATTTCGAGAAACATTAGTTGATACAATACTCGGATTAGACAATCAAGGACCACAAGAAGTTCAACAAGCAAGAGTTAACAGCAAACACATATTCCAAGAAACAACAGAAAAATGTGGTAGAAACAGAAAAATCAGAAAGAGATGTTTCCACTGCTATCAAAGTAGAACAGTAATAGTTGGATCGAAACAGGCATCGAAGGAAGTAAAAAAGATCACTACATTCTGTGCACCATGTAAATCTTATACATGTATAAGTTGTTTCAATCTGCATCACACAAACTAAGGATTTTAATTATTTTTTACATTATTATTTATAAATACGTCTCGATAATTATGTTTTGTATTAAATTTATAATTTGTATTATGTTTATATTTAAGAATTGAAATTGAAAACATATTATTTGAATAAAAGAAGTGATTGAATTTTTTTTATATGCTTATTGTAGTGATATTTTATGTATAATAATAAATGTATATAAAATAATCGGTTTGCGGCGAATAATATATCATTTTACGCGAAATTTTCTCCTCTACGCCATCATTTAAACATTATCTTCATAACTTTGACGCCACAAAAAATATTCCCCTTTACAAATAAGTGTGTTTATGGCAGCCCGCGGTCATATGGCGTATAAATAATACAAAGGTGCGACCGCCGGCGTCCGTAAAAATACTGTTGTATGCTAGTAGTCTGCGGACGCCGGCGGCCGCATGGCAGTCAACGTGTTAAGTATATTTTATAAGACAGTAGTTATTAGGCTACAAATAAATATAATTAATATGTATAAATTAAGCAAGCATATTATTACATCTATGTTCTAATTATTTATATTATTATTTGATTTATTAATATTCTATAATAGGTATTATTAGGAAGTTGCAAGAATCAATTTTTTTTATCAAACCAAAATTATTTTAACTTGAATACTTATAGAAACTTACTCATATTACCATAAATTAAGTTAGGTACTTGACTAAAATTAATAAATGTAATCAGAGGTATAAGTAGTAATCTTTAGAACAAGAAATATAGCTAGTATAAACATAGAAACAACATAAAAGTAGTACTAAGTAAAGTGTGGATACATTTTGTTGGAAAAAAGAAAATCTGGAGAATTTAAATGTAAGTAAGGAATATAATAAACTTAATTTTGTAATTCCTTACTTTTGTTAAAACTATATTAATTAACTACTAATCTAATAAAATCAAATCAATACATTTGTTTTAGGGTGATACCGAAAAAAATATATATAAATATAATAGTATATTATTCTATAAGAAGAATGGTGACGGTTCCTTAAAACACAACACGACAATTTATTTGAAGTTTTCTGGGATGACGTAAACAGTAAGCACAGCCATGAAAATCAGTACAGTAGACCTTCATATATAGTGGTCCGAAAAAATCGCCTCATGTTTTAATAATATATAAAGATAACGTATTAAGATACATGACAATGATGATCATCAGTAGAGACCGGATTTATATGCGCTTAAAATCTTGAAAATAAGATGCTTCTATGCTCTATGATTTCATCAAAATAATCTTTTATAAGCAAAAATATTATTTTATGAAAAAATATTCTTATTCATAAAAAATCTATAAAACACTGAAAAAACAAATAAAAGAAACAGTTTATAAAAATAAACAGTTACATATTTTAATCTATAATATGGTGTACCTATATTTAACTGTTGTAACACAAACTTATGAATTCAAAGAATAACAATACTAAAATAAAAAATAAAAAGTAATTGCATATACCTAGTACATTAACAGAATAATATTACCTATATTATGTATTCAAACTCAAACTTAAATAATTCAGCCTTATGAATTCAAAAAATTATATTATTAAAAATAAAAAAATGATTGCATAGGTATAGTTCAACAACAGAATAATATTATGTATTAAAATAACTCAAAATTAAATTAATTAGCCTTATGAACTCAAAAAATAATAATAATAACAAGTTTTAAGTAATAAAAATAATTTTATTTTGTTTTTAAACATTTTTATTGTCTATTAGATTTTGATAAAATATTCAAATTTGAACCCAATATGGCAATATATTCCTAAAACATGTTTTTTACACAAAATATTCTTTTTTATGAGCTAAAATATGTTGTATATCAGTTCATAGGTAAATGAATCGTTGGAAAAGCTTATCCAATTTGAGCTGCATACTCTCAGTACCTAGTCAAATGTTATTTTAGGTACAATTAAAGAAAAGCAAAATTAATTTAAGTTTTTTATAATTTTATAGAATATGACGTATACTCTGTCCAGCGATACAACACGCCGATTATGAGCATTCCTCTGCGTCACCCTGCCATTATGGAAACCGGTTCTCCCAAGACAGGGTGTCATGTGAGGATGGGCAAAAGAACTGATTTTCTTGGTCCACAGTGTATTTTCTAGGTAGCCAGAGATACCTTTCTGTAATTTTTAAATTGTATATTCACAATAATGGTGTATCACTACAAGTATAAATCCACGCTACAATAATCATTACTGATTATGGATTAGATAATTATGAAAAATATGTTAAAAGCCTCGTTAGTTAAAATTAGTACTTGATTTAGAACATGGTATACACAATTATAATAGACCTGTAACTATAAATAGGAGGCTCTACATAAAAAAAACCGTATACATCACTGGTTTTCTTCCTATTAATAAATGTTGTTAAATATTTATATATTTATAATATGTTCAAACTTCATACCTAATATACCTACCATATACCATAAACAATTCAGAGTAATCAGATTTAGGTATTCATATTTAATAATGTGGGTACATATTAACACTGGTAATTAAATAACTTCTTACCTTTTTTCTTGAATAATACGCGATGAACGTCTGACAAAATTGACATGTTTAGATGTTTTTTCACTGGTATCAGAATTGAATTTGCTCTTTTTGCTTTTAGTATGTTGTTTGGCACTATCGTTAGAGTTTTTCAACTGATTAACTGACTCTTGTAAGATGTCCAATGGGTCGGAAAACTGTTGGAAAAAAAACTTTTAGTTAACACCAATAGTAGGCAAATAGTTAATATGTATTTGACGGACAGTTACGATAAACACACCTGAAGTTCCAACTCCGCTATGTTCTTAAGTCTCTGGCGTTCGTATTCACTCAACTTTTCGATTTCCTTTTCAGACCTCTTTACTGTTGGGAAAAACATGTTGAATGTCGATACGGTTATATTCAACAATATTATAATAATTCGTTGATGAGTCCGTTGGTGATGGCGATTGGCGAAACGGTACCGTATAGAAAACTCAACGTACCCGACACTCTTATAAAATTAAGTTATGGCAAGTCAGTCTCGATGTGTGCCTTCGATCAAAACCATGTGCTTTGGTCTGGCCGATCGAGATAATCTATAGCGTTGGGCATAAAAGTAAAATGTGAAGAGGCGGTGGGTATGAGAAGAGAAAGCTGTGTAACGACAAAACTCAACGACACCGACGACAATTCAAAAACTGAAAAAACACTAAAGAGTTTTTACCGACGAACGACATCCAAGCATCATGACTGATGTTTGACGAGAAAACGCGTTACGTCTAGCCGACTATAATGACTATATAGGTTAAGTGGCTGTCGGAGGCGATTCGGCGGTTATGTTTTTTTGGCGCCAAAGTTCGCGAGATAAAGGCCCGACGACCGACGGCGGCGCCGCCATACCACTTCCCCCTCCCTTCATCATTCAAATAAATAACGACGGGCCCGGACTATCGAACGCGTTACTACCACGGTACTATAAATATTAAATTGTTCTGTGATACTATCGATAGTGGAGTCGCTCGCCCGACATACCGATCGGCAACTCGAATCACGGACTAGATATTATACCATATTATACCATATAAGATATATCTTTGTGACTCGGATACACAAATATATTATCATCATTTTTTATCACTTATCATCGTATTCGTCTTTAGCCGCCGTGGCTGTGACGTGTCTATTTAATAATATCAAAATATGCAAATGACAAATGCCAAAATTGTATATGAATCGCATTCATATGATACTATGGTAGATCGTAGATGCGACAACTAAACTACTAACACTGTACAAAATTTAAAATTCCAGTATCACAAGATTTCCACTTTTGAATTAATTATATCGATGCAAAGCCGAGAGCATAGATTAAATATTAAAACATACATTCATGAATCATGTTTAATCTAGGCCATGCATAGCGATAGTGTTAGACCTTAGTTCATGATCTAAATAATATATATATATATATATCGAAATAAATTGTCTACGATGGGCTGGTACGTATCGAGTTGAATCGAATTTAGATTCAGACCTAAATAGTAAATACAACTCGGTTGGTACGGGTACCGTAATTTTTTATTGTAGTCCGTAGATACTATGGTTGAATGGTTCCAAAATAGTCTATAGAAGTATAGACATAATATTATTTTATAATGTATTAGGTATGTAATGATTGTAATTTGTTATAGACTGCACGTAGAGAGAGAAACCAATATCAACATCTGAGAGATGTAGGTAGTCAGGTAGACATTCCTTATATTATTATTTATGTATTATGTGGTAAGTAGGTATATAACTTTGACAAAGCCACATAGGCACCTATAGAATTAAAAAAATTAATATACTTTGCCTGTCGATTGTCGATATGTACATAATACCCTGTACAGGTCCACTCTAAAAAACTTATTATGTGGACTATAATGGTCCCTATTTTTTTCTACAATTTATTTCAAAAATACCTTATACAGAAACCTTAATTAAATGGTTTAAAATCGTCAAAATAATTTTCTATATTTTTTTTTACGATACTCAAAGTAATTTGTTTGTCAATTATTTTAAAATTAATATTATATTATTATAATAAAAATAAATGGAAAACTAAAAAATACATGATACATATAAGACTATTTTTACTAAGTATTTCTTTATATCATTATTAACACAAAAGATTTGGGCAAGCGAGTACTCTGCTTTGCAGTAGGTGTCTAGAAACTGTAATGGATGTGTTAAATTTTAATTCAATGGTATAAAAATAAAAACATTAAAAGCATTTTAAAGCAAAATATTATTGCTGCCTCAGCACATATTGTTTCACTGGCCTGACCAGCTATGTCAATAACTTATAGCTTAAAATATTCCCACCTATATTACATAATGCATATTTATTAAATAATATTATACTGACGAAATGCATACAATATACGACAAATGATAATAATAATATAATATCAATGTATAGGTACGAAAATCGATTCTGAGAGGAAACGGTTTGTCAGCCAAAGATGTTTTATAATTTCTACTATTATTTTCAATAATACGGTAGCCGGTAAGTTGAATTAATAATATATTTATATACTTTAGAAAATTCAAGTAGGTACGCAATAATAATATTTTTAAAACATACCTAACACAAAACTAAAATCGATCTTCTTCGTTTAAATATCTAATTTTTAAAAAGAACATTTTTTATGAATTTCTAACTCAAAATAATTTGCACATTTTCGTGATTTGTAGGTACTCTTATGTATATTGTCAAAATTCAAACTTTAAATGCTTATAAAAAAATGGTGACAATGTATTTTTAATATTAATTAGGAGTCTTGTTTTAAATTATGAAGCTTTTTGACCTGACAAATTTAAAAAACACATCATTGTAAAACTAATACCATTGATTACAAATACCTACTATGGATACCACACACAGCTCACTGCAGTACAAAATACGCTACGCGCTGAATGGCGAGTAACCGCTACGCTCCCCGAGATATTTAGTTATGACTTATGACTTATGGCGTGTAGAGTGTACCGCAATAATCGCTATATAATATATGAGTATGAGTAGGGATTAGTCTTGACTTCTTGAGTTTTTCTCAGTAGAGATAAACGTGCTTGTCTTGTCGTGCTTATTGACCTATCTTGGTTTCAATTCTCGGAGCGTCTACAAAGACGTAGGTAGGTACTCGTATTATACTATACTGTAAACTTGGTACCTACTCGTCGTCGTCGTTACTCTTTGCACTGGCACATTGCCAACGATTACAAAATAATAAGTATTAAATACCTATTCATAATAATATAACCCTATATGGGGCAAAAGGTACTTTTCCATTTCGGCTAGTAGTACAGTTATCTTTAAAATTTACAAAAATAACAACAGAACTTAACAATTAAATTAAATATGGTTGTATCCAGAAATGTGATTTTTTTAGGAAAATCATTACCTACAACTGCTTGATAAAATAATAAAATAAAATGATTTAACTTAGGTACTAAATAGTAAATACTAGTATTTATAATCATTGTTATTCCTTTTGTCAAAGTAAAAATTAAATTTTATTTGAAAACACTTTTTTTATAGTCTTCACTTTTCAATGTATGTTGTAAGTAAAATGGTGACACCCCCTCCCCTAATTTGGTTAAATATTAATTTTTAAATTATTCCTTAATTATTAAATTTAGTTATTTAGTTATTTCATAGTCATATTTATGTTTATAGTAGCCATTATATTAATATGTACAGTTTTTATTATAACATATTAGTACATTCAGCATTAACACATAATTATTTACTATATTATATAGTACAGTCATATTATCATCAATCATAATATATATTTTGTAAATTGAAATATTATTCCATAAATAAAAATATTCCTACAATAGACTTCTCGTTACAGTGTTACACTCAATGTGAAGTATTTTCGGCTCTTTTAAATTATACCATTGATTATAAATAGTATCATTGAATATTCAATTATTTACTATTTATAACCAGTGCTGAGTGCTTGTACAAAATAGTGGAATTATATTGATTAAGAGTACACGTCTGGCGAACAAACTTGCGCATTACGGACGTACAATTCGTACAAATTGAACGATCACTCGTTGATCATTAACATTTTTTTTAAAAACTTGATTGTTATTTATTACTTAGGTAAAACGTAAATCGTAAGAACTATAATTGTGTATTGTGTATTGTTATTTTGAAATCATTTATATTTTATACTTTTTATTGTCTACTGTGTTATTCAGTGTTCTCAAATAATTAAAATGTCTATACTCCGGCCCACGAGTGTCCATACGTAAACCGCGCATCGATATAGTACAGGGGTGGCCAAACAGTCAATCTTGGACGATTTCTAAGTCGATCCCCATTGTTAGAATTTTTTAATTATTCTTATATATTTGCAATTTAGTAGATACACTTATTAAATTCATATGTTTCGGATTAACCTGTTAGTGTGAAATGGCAATTTCTCACATGAAATTTATAATTTATAGAAGGGGGGACGAGGTGGCCGAGCGGTCGAACACGTCGTCTGCGGCGCTGGCGGTTGCGGGTTCGATTCTCTCGACCACTGGGCGGCATTTTTCTCCGGGCAAGTCACGGTGTCCGGAGAACAAGTGCCGCCATTCCCCACTCCGGGGCATGGCAGAAACCTACGGGTGCCCCAATAGAAATTCTGCCAAACACAACACACACGTGTAATAACCCTTCTATTTCAAACCCTACTACCTACAATCATAACCCCACAATCAAGCTAATGGCCATAGTCGCCGGGCTTCAAAAAGATCAATTAAAAAAAAAAAATTTATAGAAGTTGAGTAGGTTAGTTTTAGACTTTAGCACAGCGTCTTCGCTTGGTCATAATGTGCAATGACACGCTTCTACATCAACAGTAAAATGTTAATACATTTTAAAATTACTTAAAAATTTAACATGAAATTCATTTTAGATAACTTAACACTTTAATTTTATTATTTATATAAGTATGTTTATTATTAATATTAAATTATTTTTTTACATTAGTCGATCCTAAAAGAATAAATACCTATACCCTCAGTAGATCTTAATCAAAATAAGTTTGACCGCCAATATTATAGTAATACGCGACGTCTGTTTTCTCCCACCATGATGCCATTCCCACTATTCGGCAACATGCAGATGCGTAGAGACGGACGCGTTTGGACATATGGACTCTCGTGGGCCGGAGTATAGTGACAAATGTGCATATTTTAACTGCACAAATACACGTAGAAATACATTAAATACCTATAATATTTCATCCTTTTCCATCAAACGAAGAAAGGTCCAAAAGATGGATAATTAATTCTTATTAAGTAGGTAATTAATAGGGCAGAGGACTTGTAGCTCTAAAAAAGCTCTAAATATAT